AACAGTTGATCCAAATTTTGATCTTGATCCTGAAATTGATTCTTATTTTGATCCGATTATTTTTGTATTTGTTTTGTTATTTGTTGATTTTTCCCCAAAATAGGTTGGTTTCTTTGCAAGTAAGCAATTATTTACATTCCGAATATGTACCATTTACTTCTAGCATAATACCATCAATTTTAGTTGTATAAAACAATGAAAATAAAATCAGGATCATCTGATCCTGATCCTGATCTTTCCTTTGTGAACACGGGGCCTGGTACCTGTGCCATTGATAGTGACTGTTAAATTTGTACTGAGAAAAATGCTTTTTCCAAAGCATAATGACATGTTCAAGAAAACACTTTTTAAGAAAATGTATAAATCAACTGAGACTCATTGACTGGGTTCAAAAAAAAAGATTCTACTTTTAACATGTTTTTCAAAAAGTCACTTGGCTTGGAAAATTTGGTTTTATCTTGTTTCATATGTATCAAATAATCACTTGTATCATAGTTTGGAGACCTTTCTGTTGAAAATGTGTCAAGGTTAAATCTTATAAATATACATGCACAGTGCGTTAACTGGAGTGCGGGTATAGAGTATTAGAGAAGGTGGTGGTGTTGCCATTCTTCACAAGACCTCAATAAAAATCAAAATTGACTCGTCAAGTAAAGATGGAGACTTTGAACAATTCGAATTCATGGACTGTATCATTAGTGTTCGTGACTTTTCAACCCGCCTTGTTGTAATATATAGACCTCCTCCATCCAAAACGAATGGCCTAAGTACTTCAAAATTCTTGAACAATGAGTTTCCTGATTTTCTGTCGAAATATGCTGAAACTGACAAAACCACAGTGTTTCTAGGAGATACAAACTTTCACATTGATAAACTTGATAATCGTGATGCGCAGAATTTCTTATCCATCCTGAACACATTTGGATTAAAACAGTTAGTCAATGAACCGACACATGTAGCTGGACACATTTTAGATGTAGTCATAACAAGAGAAAATGAAAATGTAGTATCTGATATTAAAATAACTGATCCTGGATTTAAAACTTCAAACGGAAAAGTAACACGTGACCATTTTGCTATCCTAATGAAAGTTAATGTTTCGAAACCACCACCTATTCGTAAAACAGTCACATACAGAAAATCTCGTGATATAAACATTGAAGATTTCAAAGCAGATATTAGATCATCTGAACTTTTTGGTCCTAAACCAGACAGCATGGCAGAAGCATCAGAGAAATATCACACTGTCCTTTCATCTTTGTTAGACAAACATGCACCTGAGAAAACAAAAACAATTGTTCTCAGACCCCAATGCCCGTGGTTCAATCAAGAAATACATGATGAGAAACACATTAAACGTAAACTTGAAAGAAAATGGCAGGAATCAAAATTAACTGTAGATCATGAAATATACAGAAGTCAGTGCTTAGTTGTAAATGATGTAATTGAAAGATCTCGTGAAACATATTACAAAGACAAAATAAAATCGTGTGGTAATGATCAAAAACAAATTTTCAAAGTAACAAATCATCTCCTCGGAAACAAACCTGAAGTTAAGCTCCCATCACACACTTCTGCTAAAGAACTAGCTCAAGATTTTAGTGATTTCTTTGAAAACAAAATTGAAAAAATCAGATTTGACATAGCATCTAAAAATGAATGTAATATAACAAATGAATCTAATTCAACTCAAATACAAAAGCCTAAAGAAACATTCAGTGAATTTGAAGTTATTACAGAAGAGCAAGTTCTTAAGCTCATATCAAAGTCATCTACTAAATCATGTGAACTAGATCCGATACCGACTTGGCTCCTAAAAGAATGCAAACTTGAAGTATCACCATATCTAACGCACATGTTCAACTTATCATTTTACACCGCCGACGTACCTCCACGCAATAAGACTTCGATAATCAGACCACTATTAAAGAAAGTCAATTTGGATCAAGAAATTGTGAAAAACTTTAGACCAGTTGCTAATGAAACATATGACTCAAAACTTCTAGAATCTGCGGCTGACTGTCAGTTTGATATGTTTCTCAACACTAACAATCTACATGAACCAAATCAATCTGCATACAGGAAATTTCATTCCACAGAAACTGCACTTATCAAAGTGCAAAATGACATTCTCCAATCTCTTGACAAAGGCGAAGTTACAATATTAGTAATGCTCGATTTATCTGCTGCCTTTGACACGATTGACCACAACACTCTTCTTAATCGACTCGAATGTGACTTTGGTTTTACTGGAAAAGTGCTCGCTTGGTGTAGATCTTATCTCAGTGGTCGCTATCAGACTGTTTGTATTGATGGAGAACTATCTGACCCTGTGCATATGACATACAGTGTCCCTCAGGGCTCTGTATTAGGACCAAAATTTTACATACTTTTCACAAAACCTGTCGGCGAAATTTGTCGAAAACATGGTCTGCAATGTCACTTCTATGCTGACGATTCTCAAATATACATTTCTTTCAAACCGTTGGACAACACCAAAACTGAACTTGTACTTTATTCTGTCTCAAAAACTGCTTAAAAGAAATAACATTCTGGATGAACAGCAACATTCTCAAACTGAATTCAGACAAAACAGAACTTATAGTCTTTTCGTCGGGTAGCAATACAGACTCAGTGAAAAATATAACTGTCAATGTGGACCAAGCTGAAATCAAACAGTCATCAAGTGTAAGGAATTTGGGTGCATTCCTTGATTCAAGGGTTAATATGGAACATCATGTTAGCTCCGTGTGCAGATCTTCGTATGCCCAAATAAGTAAGATAGGACGTATTCGAAAATATATCAACGAAGAAGCTACAAAAACACTCGTTAACTCTCTCGTGACATCAAGACTGGATTATTGCAATGCTCTTCTATATGGTATACCTCAACAAACCATGAAAAAACTTCAAACTTGTTCAAAATACTTCAGCCCGTGTGATTAAACGTACATCTAGGAAAGATCATATCACACCAGTGATGAAAGATCTTCATTGGCTGCCAATCGAATATAGAGTGAATTACAAGATCTTATTACATACTTTCAAGTCACTGAAACAACAATCTCCATCATATATGCAGGAAATGATTCAAGTTTATTCCACTTCCCGAAATCTGCGCTCTTCAAATGCACCTGTACGATTAGTGCAACCAAAAACTAAACTGAAATTTGGTGAAAGGAGTTTTTCGGCATCAGCTCCTAAGCTATGGAATTCACTACCAAGTCATCTAAAAAACTGTAACACAGTAGAAAGTTTCAAAAAACATCTTAAAACACACTACTTCAATTTAGCTTATGGAAAATAATCAGTGACTGTTATGAATGAATTTTATAAACAGTGAATACGAAGTATCTGTTATTTGAATATTAGTTTTATTAAAAAGTTTTTTTTTTAAACAAACAATTTTTAAATCAATTTAGTATTTCTATTGTTTTATAACGATGATTTAGCAAGATCTTATCTATTATTATAAATCCATTGCTAGCATTTTTAAGCACAGAATATTTCTTTTTTTTAAATCAAAAAAAAAAAACAACAAAAAAACTAACATTGATTTATCATAATAATTTACATGTGTTATATAATATATGGCTCGTGAATGCAGAGGGGTCAGATTTCAAGAATATTTAGTGTTAAGGTGTGGGGCGTGGCCCTTTCCTCCTGTGGTGATAGTAGTGATGTCATCCTGGGGGTCTGCATGCGCTGTGGGGAGGTATCTGACTCCCTCGGTACTGGACCTTGGTGTAGCAGTACTCATGCTATCCAGGTTCGTTAGGTTCAATATCCTTTTAGTCTGATGTCGCTGTATTCATTCTTTTATTAATCGTTCATATATTTTCTGTTGTAAAGTATGACAACAAAACAATGAAAATCATCAATATGCATTTAAAGTAGCTTTTAATATTTATTTATGAGTTTATGTTAAAAGGCACATTATTTCTTACACATTTATATATTGAAGACAATTTTAATGTATGACAATAATATTGTAAAGTGAGTTTTAAGGATCTTTAAGTTATATTGTATTAATATGTAAAAATAATTCCATAATTTATACTTTTAATTAGTTAATGCAAAATATTTTTAATGTTCATAATCCTGTTCATTTATATTGTTTTAGACATATATGATTGATGTAAAGCGCCTTTGAACATTTTAATGAAAAGGGCGCTATATAAATGTGGTATTTATTATTATTATTATTATTAATCATCAATGATGTTTCAGTTTATAACCCATGCCAGAATGGTGGTTATTGTACAGACGAAACTAACGGCTATTCTTGCGTTTGTGTTGATGGATATGGCGGGAAGAATTGTGAAATCGGTAACATTTACACTTATTCAAGAGACTTAATATAAAGAAATCAATCAATTAAATAAGTGAAAAATAATGACTTTTTCTTTTCTTTTGATAAGCTAGTGTTTTTCTGATTTTGATGTTGGCGTAATGTATCTCCAACAATTGCCCTTGAATAAAAAATTATTAAGCTGAATATATAACAAATTTTAAAAGAAGCAAGTTGTTTGGGGGCGGGTGGGGTTTTATTATCTCCCATGAGCACATTCGTGAAACTTATGCAATTTTCTATTTTTCATTGTAGTTTTCATTGTTTCCGAGTATTAACCCTGTTTCCAAATTTTATAGATGTATAACTTACGAATATAAAGTCAAGTCCTACATTTGAATATCTATCTTTGATGGGCGAATTTATTTCTGCATTAAAAAAAATCTTAAAAAACACAAGTTGTATATAATAGAATTTTTAAGCAATGATTATATAGAGTAATACTTTGATGTTTCTTTTTTCAAACTAATTACAGATATAAATGAATGTAAGTCCAATCCATGTGAAAATGACGGGACTTGCATAGATTATTTGAATGCTTACAGCTGTTCTTGCGCGGACGGCTTTATTGGTACAAACTGTGAAATTAGTAAGTTAGATGATATAAAATTGCTAAGCAATCTTCATTCTTTTTCATTTCCTTACCACTTCAATGAAATGTACATCTTCTGAAAATATGAATAGCAATTTGGGTACTATTCAATATGTTCAAAACGTTAAGTTTGTTAAAAGTAACCCATATCTTTTTAATTTTCAAATGTATTTTGATTTCAGTTAGAACTTTATATTAATCAATTTGTATAAAATAAATTGATATATACTGAAGTATTTGTCTAAACTATTGTCACTGTATATATTGATTATACTTTTTCGTTAATACAGAAGTAAAAATGAGATAAATAATTCTTGATAAAACAAATCAGGCGCAATTTAGCTAGATATCAGGTACAGCAGTACTTATCTGTTGTTGTTGTGATTGAATCGAAATAATATATCCAAATCGGTGATTTTTATCGCTTGATAAAATCACTGTTTGTCGTTTATATCACCCGGGCTACGGCCTCGTGATATAAATACTCAAAACAGTGATTGTATCGAGCAATAAAATCAGTTTGGGATATAGTATTTTTTAAATAAATTAAACTAACAACAATTTGTCTGTATGCACTTCTAACGAAACGAATCATTTTAATTCTTACTTCTTTCTAAAGAAGTTGAAATTATATGTATTTGTGTTTGTAACCTTTCCTAATCATTGCAACTTGACATGAAACAAGTTTTTTTCCCCTTCTATTTCATTCAATTAGATATCTTAAAATAGGGGCGTAGACGGTAGTTTGCACTTGACAGTAATATCCATGACCAGGCTCCATCAAACCGAGCCTACACAATTTTCAATTTTGCCGTTTTGGATTTTCTTTAGGGATTCCTTTTTTCTCTATTTTACATATAAATGAACTTTTTCAGATATAAACGAATGCTCGTCAAACCCATGTCAAAATAATGGAATATGTAAGGACGGAATTAGTATGTATACATGCGAGTGTTCACCAGGTTTTGATGGTACTCACTGTGAAAAAGGTTGGTACAATTAATTTCTTTGTGTAGGTTTCAAATTTTTACTAAGTATTATACAATATAAGTATTCAAGCCAAAGTTAATTTATCGATAATAAACGCTAATTAAAATTTAATTTAATGTCGTTTGTGCGTTTCTTTCAACCCAATATCTTACATAAAAAAAATACGCTTGTAACCATATTAAAATCAAAGAATATCTTTCTTTAGATATAGATGAATGCATGGCAAATCCATGTAACAACGGAGGTACTTGCACAGACCTTGTAAATGGATATACCTGCACATGCTTGGCTGGATATTTTGGAGTCAATTGTTCTGCTGGTATTCCATCTAATTATCTTATATCTTATAAATACTTAAATGGTTCAATACTTTTAATGTTATCGTTAATATACGGTGTAGATAAAAATGAATTGATATTTTTTCTGATTCGTATACTTAGTCATACGTATTATGTGTATTTTCAGCCGAAATGCAACGTTTTCAGAAACAATATGTATTTTATAATTAAACAAATATTGTAAATGCATTGTAATTTATCTGTTCAATTCCGAAAATTAAGACTTGAATTCTTGAGCACCTATGTTATTGATAAAATGTTGTTTATTCATACGAAAATGATATCCCAGTTGTAGACAATTGTGAAGAGAATCCATGTGAAAATGAAGGAACGTGTGAGAACATGATAAATGCACGGACATGTCATTGTGTTGATGGCTATGAGGGTAGTAACTGTGAAATAGGTAAATTTCATTTACCTGTAATTGATGATTCTGAAGATATATATAATTCAGAACGTTTTTTATACCTGCTAAGATTAGAAATGATGTCATGTTGATACAGTACGATTTGTCTTTAAAAGTGTTCTAAGTCGTTTTTTTTATTATTAGCGGCTCATTTATTATAGCGTTTTTATACGTTAAGACAAAAAAATGTTTCCTTTAAGTTGTATGAGTAAGTAGAAACATATTAATAGAAACATAAAATTTGTAAGTGAATGACAAAAGCTTTGGTCAAAGCTGAATTAAGTTAATTACTGTAAAGATTCCTTCGCATTTTAAGATATAAATGACTGTGAGAACAACCCTTGTCAAAATGGCGGAAGTTGTACAGATTTAGTAAATGGTTATAAATGTACTTGCGTGAATGGATATGAAGGAACCAAATGCGAAACAGGTAAAACCTCCTATTAGATAAATCAGCAACATTGTTACATGTTATAGTATTGAGTTCCTTCAAAGTAATTCTTTTGTTACAATAATACGATCTGCTTGTTTTTTAGTTTAAAAGAAATATTGGTCATGCCATTTTTGAGGTTTGTGGATTTTTTCTCGTTTCAAAACAAACATTGATATATTTTCAAATATTTTACATCGAGCTCATTTTAACATTTCAACTTTTTGATTATTTATTTGTTCACGCGTCAAGACTTATTAAGATATAGGATGCTGGTATGCCAGTATGCTCAGATATCAAATATATGGCAATAGACAAAACTTTGCCTTATCTAAATAGATATTCAATGATTTCCTAGCTTTTAAATTTGATATATTTAGTCAAAGGTACTTATTTTCCTACATTAAAGACAATTTCGTAACGTAGAGATAATTTTTAATAAAATAATGGGGATAGTTGAATATTTTATCTATTGCATCATATTTTATGATGATTAATCATGCCATTTCCAGATATCAACGAATGCTCCACCGATCCATGCAAAAATGGTGGTACCTGTAAAGATCTAGTTAATGCATATGAATGTGAATGTGCTGCTGGATACGAAGGCAGCAACTGTGATTATGGTAAGAGTACCGCGAAAGCAAATGATAAACGATTTTAATAGGGAAAACCATTTTGTTAAAAAGTTAAAATTCAACGAAAGAAAATAGCAGATTTGACTTTTGAATAACGATCATTTTTGTCTATTGTTGCCATTGCTTTGGAAGGGTTATATCTTTTTTTCCAGTACTGATATGTGCATTTTAATCAATTTCAGATGCGATAAAAAAGATAACATACATTTATTTATTTATTTATTTATTTGGATTGTATTCTTGTTCACACAACATAATCATTGTTTGCGACGTTGCAAAGAGCTATCATCTCAAAATCATGGAGACGAATAAGAATGTCACATGTCGGTTTATGCCAACGTACATTACTCTGAACATATAGGAATCATCTCTGTTAGCTAACTACTCATTAATCATTTACATTCATTTTTTTCATGAACCTATATCTTACATAGTATGACCAAAAGTGAAAATGTTTATTGATAAGCATCACAAGATTAAAATAATGTAAGTATTTACTGTGTATGTATGTTATAGGATGGCTTATGAAGTATTTAGTCCGTATAATATACCCCATCCATGATTATTAGTAGAAATTGATGTACCGAATTTACTTATTTCGTAGATATAGATGAATGTTCTTCCGACCCTTGCAAGAACGGTGGCACCTGTGAGGATCTTGTCAATGGATATGAATGTACATGTGTTGCCGGATATGACGGAACTACATGTGATAATAGTAAGAAATACTTTCAGTGATTTTAAGAAATTAAATAATACACTGAATTTCAATTGATTATTTGCAATTTTGCGGAAATCGATGATTAATATTATTATTAAAAGATGATTAACGGCGTATGTACGCCTTTTAATTAATACTTGCTTACGCCGTTGGTATCTTAAAGAAGTGATTGTTCGTTAATTTGTAAATGAATTTATAATGATTTCTAAAATATGTATGTCAAAATAAAACTTTTACTATAAGATTCTATATGATTTAAAAACGAAATGTGTTCACAGATATCGATGAATGTTTAAACAATCCATGCAAAAATGGAGCTACATGTACGGATCTTGTTAATAGATATGAATGTGAATGTGTGCCGGGTTACGACGGAAATGAGTGTAATAATGGTGAGAATGTATTTCTGATTAATATTAGACTTATAAGTAATATCGGTATTCGATTATATTGGCGTAAACAATTTAATATCTGATCCTGTTTCATTCATAGAATTTAGCGATTATCAAATTTTTCATCTTCGTTTGTAGATTTCTTGAACCTTAATATATTTGATTATATATAAATAGATAGAGATAACTATTATCTGTAAGATATCAATGACTGCTCTTTTCGTTGTTACAGGAATAGTAGGACTAATAAATACGTACTTAAAAAGATTGTTTAATCATTTTTATCATAAATTAAAAAGCAAGCTTATCAAGCTTATTATCACTCTTAAATATTTGTCTCTACTTTCAAGTAATATTGTCATACATTAATTGCAATTATGTAAAGATTTTACGATTCTGAAATACTAAATATTTAATCTTTTGCATCATATGACGAAAATATTTGTCTCTACTTTCAAGTAATATTGTCATACATTAATTGCAATTATGTAAAGATTTTACGATTCTGAAATACTAAATATTTAATCTTTTGCATCATATGACGAATCTTCCCATGTCATTGGCAGATATCAACGAATGCTCAACCGATCCATGTCAAAATGGTGGTACCTGTAAGGATCTAGTAAATGCATATGAATGTGAATGTGTTGCTGGATACGATGGTAAAAATTGCGATAATGGTAAGAATATAGAATGAGCATATGCTGAGCAAGTTTTTAGAAAAGAGAAATCGCATTACACCAATTCACAAATCAACAAGCAACAACAGCAATTTCGATTTGTTCATGTCTGTTTAATCATGTGCCAACAAGTTTGCCTATGGTTGATATTGCTATGGAAGAATCATCTTATTTTTAGTTCATTACAATACATTTTGTGTGAAAGTGTGAGTGACCTGAGACCTTGATCCGCCAGTAAACTGAAAAGTTGCATATCAACTTGACATGAGTCAGAATTTTCTTCATACTTCATTCCAGAAATAAGTTATATATTAGTTTTATTACAATACATTTTGTGTGAAGGTATGAATACTGTTTAAGCTGGTGCTGGGTGAGTAAGAGATTTTTAAGGTAGCGAAATACCCCATATCTCTCAGCACGTTTCGTAATTTCCGTACCTTATTTCTTGAGACCGAACTATATTGGTTTAGGAAATGTGTATTATATTCCTTTACATTCTACATTGCTTCATAGAAATAAACGAATGCGCTCCTTACCCTTGCAAGAACGGTGGTACCTGTAAGGATCTTGTAAACAAATACGAATGTACATGTGCTGCTGGATACGATGGAACAAATTGTGACAATAGTAAGATATTTAAGATCTCTTTCATTTAGAAAAAAGGAAAATATGTCATTTTCATAGTATGATTGATGGTTGATTTTAATATTGAATAAATATTTATTGATCTGAAATCATTAATATCACATTGGTATCTACCCGGTGGCGTGTCTTTTAAATGTCTACATAAGATTTCTTATTTTATGTACGAATGTTTTCCTTTTCTAACAAATTTGCTATTGTTTCATGGGGAAATAGATATACTCATATTACATTATATCATTATCAGTATAACATCTAATGTTTCGTTGTTTCTACAGTTAACGTAACAAACATTAACCTGTTCTTCCCCAAATATGAAACGACTCTTTAATTCTTTTATTTCTGATAAAAACTGGAGATTTGTTATTATTGTGACATTTTTCTAGACATAACTATATCCTTTATTTTAAACAGATATCAATGAATGCTCGAGCAATCCTTGCAAGAATGGTGGAATATGTAAGGATCTTGTAAACGAATATGAATGTACATGTGTTGCTGGATATGACGGAATGAACTGTGAAAATGGTATGCATATATTTAATTTACTTGTCATATTTACCTTTATATTCTTAATAAATTTTATTCTCAAGTAAAGTAAAAACAATATTGACTATCTTCCCAATGAGTAATATCGTATCAATAGGCAGTAAAAAGTAAGATGAAATCACATTTTTCCACACTCAGGACCTTCTTAAATTTCAATATCACTTGCAAATCATTTTGAGGACAGATACTAAATTTAATGCTTGATAACATCCCGTGCAACATGGTAGTTACATGTAAAATTGTAAACAAATTACGAATCTACATGCCTTTGTCTGGATTTTATTACTGGTAATTACTGTATACAATTATGGTTGAGAATGGGCTTTTTAATCTGTTTTTTAATTACTATAACTATTGTATAATCATACTACCCTTATTCTTTGTTATCGATATGTCATGCATTGAATTCGAAGGTATTGAATGGAGAACTTTCCGAGTCATGATTTGGTATCCTTAATCTTCTTCTGTTTACTTGTTGCATAAGCGGACATAGGCGAATTCATCTTTGTATGTCATATACATTTACGCTGGTATGAGGACAGGAACGATATATTATATAAGATAAAATTAACATAATAACTTTGCCTATTTGGTCTAGGAAATCTGAGAGCATTAATTCACATTGATTCTTTATAAGTATTGCACACTAGAGATTATCACATTGTGTATTTCAGATATCTTTTCTTTTATCCTGTTATATCATGATGTAAACGTCTCGTAAGTAATCTCAGTGATAAATAGGCGCCGCTGTCATGTAAGTATTCTTTGTATAACAATACCGAATCAACATGCTTAATGAGCTTTGGTGTATTTTTATCGCGACCTATCTGATGACATCTGGTAGTCAAATAATATCGTGTTAACCATTTGATGATATCTTCTCTTCGAACGTAAATTAATAACTGCTATTCACTACGTAAAATAACATTCTAATGTTCTACCACTAATCTCCCCTTGGCTGTTGTTCTTTTATATGTAGTGTCATACATGTACACTTTTCGATTTTATGTAGGATGAATGTTTCCTTTTTCTAACAAACTTGCTAATCTATGTTTGCATCGCGGATTTATTAGAGCAGTCATATTCATATTACCATTATGACCCTCATCATTAATCAGGTATAACTCTAATCAGTTGTTGTGTACTACACAGTTAATGAGTAACAAAGCAAGTTAACCTGTTCTTCCGACCCCCAAAATATGAAACGGACCTCTTAAATTCTTTTATTGTCTGATAATATATACATAAGAGAATTTTATATTGTGAACATTTATTTCTGAGACATACACTATATCCTTATTACTTTAACAGATTCCAAGGAATGCTCAGATCCCTTGCAGAGGTCTTAGGTAATATGTAAATGAATCTTGTACGTAATATGAAGTGTACATTTGTTGCATGGTATCTGTACGGAATGAACTCGTGAAAAGGTATGCATTATTAATTTACTTGTCATTAGTTTATGACTCTTTCCATATTTTGACAAACTTTTATCTGAAGTAGTAAAAATCAAGATTGTTACTAGCTGTCTCTTTATCTTAAATTGGTGTTGCTGTCAATAGCTACTAATCAATCGTTCCCTTATACTAATTTATTAGATTCAAATCTTTCATTCCAATAATTATATGTTTTATTGTTGTTCATATAATAGATACATATCTTGATATCTTCTCAAGTTGAGTAAAGTATCTAATATGGCAGTTAAATTATAAATGAAATCACATTTTTTCCAAACACTCAGCCATTCTTAATTTCAAAATATTGCCAATCATTTGAAACAGATATAAATGAATGCTTGAGTAACCCGTGCAAACATGGTAGCACATGTAAAGATCTTGTAAACAAATACGAATGTACATGCGTTGCTGGGTATAACGGACCTAACTGTAACATTGGTGAGAAAATGCTTTTTAATCTGTCTTTATAATTACATAACTAATATAAAATACCCTTTATCGTGTTATTGGAATAGTACAGCAAATTGATTGAGGTAATTGAATGGAGACTTCCGATCATTTTTGTTATCCTTAACCTTCTTTGTTATTGTTTCATTAGCGGCCAAGGCAAATTTATTTATAATGTCATAACATTACGGTATGAAACAGGAGACAATATTATATAAGAGTTAACAAAATTAACATAAAACTGCACTTATTTCATTAGGAAATGACGCATTATTTCACATTGTTCTTGATGAAACTAGATTAATATCACATTGGTACACAGCTATCTCTTTTATCTTAAACAGATGTAAACGAATGCTCGAGTAACCCGTGTAAAAATGGCGCTGCATGTAAAGATCTCGTAAACAAATACGAATGTACATGTGTTGCTGGGTATAACGGACCTAACTGTGACACTGGTAAGAAAAAAATATTTGTTAAGCACATTGAATATAACTCTCCCGAAGATAAATATAACTGCATTTCTTACATAAATAACATCAATGTATCTACCCGGTGGCGTGTCTTTTAAATGTCTACATAAGATTTTTGATTTAATGTACGAATGTTTTCCTTTTCTAACACATTTGCTATTGTTTCATGGGGAAATAGATATACTCATATTACATTATATCATTATCAGTATAACATCTAATGTTTCGTTGTTACTACAGTTAATGTAACAAACATTAACCTGTTCTTCCCCAAATATGAAACGACTCATTAATTCTTTTATTTCTGATAAAAACTGGAGATTTGTTATTATTGTGACATTTTTCTAGACATAACTATATCCTTTATTTTAAACAGATATCAATGAATGCTCGAGCAATCCTTGCAAGAATGGTGGAATATGTAAGGATCTTGTAAACGAATATGAATGTACATGTGTTGCTGGATATGACGGAATGAACTGTGAAAATGGTATGCATATATTTAATTTACTTGTCATATTTACCTTTATATTCTTGACAAATTTTATTCTGAAGTAAAGTAAAAACAAAGAAATTGTTCTATCTCTTATTTTTTAATTTTTGTTGCTGTCAATATTACTGAAATACTATATATCGTCTTATAAATTATTAGACAAACTTTCATCGCAAAATTAATAGTTTATGTTGTTCATGAAAATAGATCAATCTTGACTATCTTCTCAATGAGTAATATCGTATCAATAGGCAGTAAAAAGTAAAATGAAATCACATTTTTCCACAATTTCAAAATATTGCAAATCATTTGAAACAGATATAAATGAATGCTTGAGTAACCCGTGCAAACATGGTAGTACATGTAAAGATCTTGTAAACAAATACGAATGTACATGCGTTGCTGGGTATAACGGACCTAACTGTAACATTGGTGAGAAAACGCTTTTTAATCTGTCTTTATAATTACATAACTAGTATAAAATACCCTTTATCGTGTTATTGGAATTAGTATGTATACATGCGAGTGTTCACCAGATTTTGATGGTACTCACTGTGAAAAAGGTTGGTACAATTAATTTCTTTGTGTAGGTTTCAAATTTTTACTAAGTATTATATAATATAAGTATTCAAGCCAAAGTTAATTTATCGATAATAAAGGTTTATTTTAAACGCTAATTAAAATTTAATTTAATGTCGTTTGTGCGTTTCTTTCAACCCAATATCTTACATAAAAACAATACGCTTGTAACCATATTAAAATCAAAGAATATCTTTCATTTCAGAAATAGATGAATGCATGGCAAATCCATGTAACAACGGAGGTACTTGCACAGACCTTGTAAATGGATATACCTGCACATGCTTGGCTGGATATTTTGGAGTCAATTGTTCTGCTGGTATTCCTTCTAATTATCTTATATCTTATAAATACTTAAATGGTTCAATACTTTTAATGTTATCGTTAATATATAGTGTAGATAAAAAATGAATTGAAATATTTTTTCTGATTCGTATACTTAGTCATACGTATTATGTGTATTTTCAGTCGAAATGCAACGTTTTCAGAAACAATATGTATTTTAATAATTAAACAAATATTGTAAATGCATTGTAATTTATCTGTTCAATTCACCGAAAATTAAGACTTGAATTCTTGAGCACCTATGTTATTGATAAAATGTTGTTTATTCATACGAAAATGATATCCCAGTTTGTAGACAATTGTGAAGAGAATCCATGTGAAATGAAGGAACGTGTAAGAACATGATAAATGCACGGACATGTCAATTGTGTTGATGGCTATGAGGGTAGTAACTGTGAAATAGGTAAATTTCATTTACCTGTAATTGATGATTCTGAAAATATATATAATTCAGAACGTTTTTTATACCTGATAAGATTAGAAATGATGTCATGTTGATACAGTACCGATTTGTCTTTAAAGTGTTCTAAGTCCGTTTTTTTTATTATTAGCGGCTCCTTTTATTATAGCGTTTTTATACTTTTAAGACAAAAAAATGTGTCCTTTAAGTTGTATGAGTAAGTAGAAACATATTAATAGAAACATAAAATTTGTAAGTGAATGACAAAAGCTTTGGTCAAAGCTGAATTAAGTTAATTACTGTAAAGATTCCTTCGCATTTTAAGATATAAATGACTGTGAGAACAACCCTTGTCAAAATGGCGGAAAGTTGTACAGATTTAGTAAATGGTTATAAATGTACTTGTGTGAATGGGATATGAAGGAACCAAATGCGAAACAGGTAAAAACCTCCTATTAGATAAATCAGCAACATTGTAACATGTTATAGTATTGAGTTCCTTCAAAGTAGTTTATTCTTTTGTTACAATATACGATCTGCTTGTTTTTTTAGTTTAAAAGAAATATTGGTCATGGCATTTTTGAGGTTTTGGATTTTTTTCTCTTTTAAAAACAAACATTGATATATTTCAAATATTTTAGCATCGAGCTCATTTTAACATTTCAACTTTTTGATTATTTATTTGTTCACATAGTGCGTTAAGACTTATTAAGATATAGGATGCTGGTATGGCCAGTATGCTCAGATATCAAATATATGGCAATAGACAACACTTTGCCTTATCTAAATAGATATTCAATAATTTCCTAGCTTTTAAATTTGATATATTTAGTCAAAGGTACTTATTTTCCTACATTAAAGACAATTTCGTAACGTAGAGATAATTTTTAATAAAATAATGGGGATAGTTGAATATTTTATCTATTGCATCATATTTTATGATGATTAATCATACCATTTCCAGATATCAACGAATGCTCCACCGATCTATGCAAAAATGGTGGTACCTGTAAAGATCTAGTTAATGCATATGAATGTGAATGTGCTGCTGGATACGAAGGCAGCAACTGTGATTATGGTAAGAGTACCGCGAAAGCAAATGATAAACGATTTTAATAGGGAAAACTATTTTGTTAAAAAGTTAAAAATTCAACGAAAGAAAATAGCAGATTTGACTTTTGAATAACGATCATTTTTGTCTATTGTTGCCATTGCTTTGGAAGGGTTATATCTTTTTTTTCCAGTACTGATATGTGCATTTTAATCAATTTCAGATGCGATAAAAAAGATAACATACATTTTATTTATTTATTTGGATTGTATTCTTGTTCACACAACATAATCATTGTTTGCGACGTTGCAAAGAGCTATCATCTCAAAATCATGGAGTCGAATAAGAATGTCACATGTTCGGTTTATGCCAACGTACATTACTCTGAACATATAGGAATCATCTCTGTTGGCTAACTACTCATTAATCATTTACATTCATTTTTTTCATGAACCTATATCTTACATAGTATGACCAAAAGTGAAAAATGTTTATTGATAAGCATCACAAGATTAAAAATAATGTAAGTATTTACTGTGTATGAATGTTATAGGATGGCTTATGAAGTATTTAGTCCGTATAATATACCCCATCCATGAATTATTAGTAGAAATTGATGTACCGAATTTACTTATTTCGTAGATATAGATGAATGTTCTTCCGACCTTGCAAGAACGGTGGCACCTGTGAGGATCTTGTCAATGGATATGAATGTACATGTGTTGCCGGATATGACGGAACTACATGTGATAATAGTAAGAAATACTTTCAGTGTTTTTAAGAAATTAAATAATACACTGAATTTCAATTGAATTATTTGCAATTTTGCGGAAATCGATGATTAATATTATTATTAAAAGATGAATTAACGGCGTATGTACGCCTTTTATTTAATACTTGCTTACGCCGTTGTTATCTTAAAGAAGTGATTGTTCGTTAATTTGTAAATGAATTTATAATGATTTCTAAAATATGTATGTCAAAATAAAAACTTTTACTATAAGATTCTATATGATTTAAAAACGAAATGTGTTCACAGATATCGATGAATGTTTAAACAATCCATGCAAAAAATGGAGCTACATGTACGGATCTTGTTAATAGATATGAATGTGAATGTGTGCCGGGTTACGACGGAAATGAGTGTAATAATGGTGAGAATGTATTTCTGATTATTATTAGACTTATGAGTAATATCGGTATTCGATTAAATTGGCGGAAACAATTTAATATCTGATCCTGTTTCATTCATAGAATTTAACGATTATCAATTTTTCATCTTCGTTTGTAGATTTCTTGAACCTTAATATATTTGATTATATATAAATAGATAGAGATTACTATTATCTGTAAGATATCAATGACTGCTCTTTTCGTTGTTACAGGAATAGTAGGACTAATAAATACGTACTTAAAAGATTGTTTAATCATTTTTATCATCATAATTAAAAAGCAAGCTTATCAAGCTTATTATCACTTCTTAAATATTTGTCTCTACTTTCAAATAACATTGTCATACATTAATTGCAATTATGTAAAGATTTTACGATTCTGAAATACTAAATATTTAATCTTTTGCATCATATGACGAATCTTCCCATGTCATTTGGCAGATATCAACGAATGCTCAACCGATCCATGTCAAAATGGTGGTACCTGTAAGGAATCTAGTAAATGCATATGAATGTGAATGTGTTGCTGGATACGATGGCAAAAACTGCGAATAATGGTAAGAATGAAGTATGAACAAATGCTGAGCAAGTTATAAGAAAAGAGAAATGGCATTACAACATTTCATAAATCAATAAGCAAAAACAGCAATTTCGATTTTAATGTCTGTCCAATCATGTGGCAACAATTTTGCATATGGGTGACATTGCTTTGGAGGTATTATCTCTTTACGGAACTGATTTAAGCATTTTAATCAATTTTAGATTCGGTGAAAAGGCTACATAATTCCATAACTTCTCTAGGTATATTTCTCGTTCTAACAACATAATCATCTTGTGGTTCGATCCGTTTAGATAAATTAGAAAAGCTCATTTCGGATCTGCGCTACCGTACATAAGTTCAAACTAAGATTTCGGTATAAAATATACGGTTTAGTAACCATGTAATTTACAAAATAGGTTACAAATGCACTTTTTTCTCGAAACACGTGGATTTACTCAAGCGCATGCTTGTGTCTTGGGGGAAACCTGATATCTTGCTCCGTCAGTAAACTGAAAAGTTGCATATAAGCTATGTTTTTCTTACTTCATTCTAGAAATAATCTATTTTCTAGTTTCATTACAATACATTTTGTGTGAAATTGTGAATACTGTTTAAGCTAGTGGTGGGTGCGTATGAGATTTTTAAAATACCAAAATACCCCAAATCTCTCAGCACGTTTCATAATTTCCCTACCTTATATCTTTGAGACTGAACTATAGCGATTAAGGAAGAGAATCTTATTTTCCTTTACCTTTTATATTGCTCAACAGAAATAAACGAGAGTTATAATAAAACTAATTATTCATATATTAAACTAACTGGTATTTGAAAAGTAAGACCGATGTCCTTCTGAACTTGTTCCACAATTTGTCAATTTGACAGATACAAAAAGTAAATTTTATCATATTTTTCACAGATATAGATGAATGTTCGAGCCACCCATGCAATAATGGTGCTACATGTACTGATCTTGTCAATAGTTACAAATGCACATGTATGTCTGGATACGATGGGGCGGACTGTGATAATGGTGAGAAATAAAATATAACAAACCCAGGTTTAGAGAGATCATGTTTATACTGTATATAGCTATAAACAGCGGCAAAAGATCCCGATCACGATTTATTCATAATTCAATTGGCCTTAACGAGCTATGTTCTATTTTATTAAATAAAATGATTTAAGTAGGTAAGTTTAATTATTTTTTGAAATACTGATGTGATATGCGGGATAAAATGTTATCATCCCGTGGCCACGGAGATCTCATGAAAACAAGTAAATACCTGTTTAAATATCATTATTGTTTAATTCATTCGGCTTTGTCATGATGTAATCAGTGGTTCG